TGTGTGTGTGTGTGTGTGTGTACACTCACAGCCAGGAGGCGGTTCTTGTCCTTCTCGGCGTTGTTGAGAGCGGTCTCCAGGGTCACCCTGTTCTTCTTGGCGACTTCCTCCAGAGCTCGAGCTTGGCTCTCCTTCATTTGGCTGGTCTCCTCTTCATATCGAGCTCGCAGACTGTTCACGTCCTTCTCGTGGGACACTTTCTCATCACGGAGGGTCTAAAAAACACCGAAAACGCACGTGCGAACTTAAATTATGCTCAAAGGTGAGCGCTGCGATAGACGATAGACAGACACAGAGCTCGGGCTGACATTCACAACATATGCTGCATTATTCAGCCATATTGCCACCGTTTGCTTGGGGATAATCCTCCAGGCTGCCTCTATACAGTGCTACTCTTTCTCTCCACGTCACTCTCATGTGTTATTCTTTGAACAGTAAAAGTTGATAAAGCCTGGGCACAGCCTATCTGGGATTACTGATAATGGGGTTATTGATTAGGACACAATGAAGCCCATTATCAGTCTCAAAAATAAAGCTACAATCGTTTGGATTCTAGATGTCCAACAGTCTTTATCACACTGCTGTTCAGGTATTGTGTTTTTTAAGTATGCTAAAGCAGTCTAGCTGATAACAGTAGGTCTTTGAGTTCATGCAGAAAGAAACAAACAGACTTTGGGATGTTTTGTAGTGAAGTCCCAAGTGAAATGAACAGCTGCTGATTGAAGACTCTGACCAACACGTTTAAAAAGATCTTTAATATAGGCAGGCATGTAATATTATGTTTGACAAAAATGTAACTAAATTAGGTGCACAGAAACTATATTTGACTCTGCAGTGGGACATCGCAAGATGATGACAACAGCGTATAATACGGTGACCTTTGGGATAAAATAAGAAGCAGCAATACGGAGACCAAACAGTTCAGGATATGTTGACCTGATCGTGTGGCTGTTTTCACTTTTTTTTTCTTTTCTTGTTTTCTTGGACAAGTCCAAATATCAACTTTGGTGTCCATACAGGAAACAGTTTTGATGATCTATAGTATCACTTTACATATGAATTATTTGTTTAAGGCAAACACATCAGCAATGTTAGTTTTAGTCATAATGCATTTTGGCTTACTACAAAACCTCCTAGTGGTAAAATGTCAATGTACCAGTGTTGTACACTCATTCAAACAATCAACTATGGTTAGAAGTGCTTCACAAGTACCTGGATGATGTACAGTCAAACAAGTAAGCAAAACTCTTGCCCTTCTTGCCTGCAGGAAAGAGAGGGACCTGAGAAATTTTCAACCAAGTTACAAGAGCTAGCAAGACAATCACAATTCTCAGTGTCATCTATGTACATTAAGTGCACAACTTAGATCATTTAATTTGAGACAACACTGTGTCAAAGTTTACAAACTGCACTTGCAACTGAACTAATGAGTACTGTAAAAAATGCTCATCTGTATAGATAAATCCAATAGTAATTTTAAATTTAAGAAAAAAGTGAAAATTTGTTCAAAACGAACTTCTAATGCGACCCACTGATGAGTTACAGACGTGACAGATGTTTAAGAGGAGGAAAAACATTAAAAAGCCTGAAATTCCAAGTTAAAATGCTAAGTTAATGAGTATAAACACAAAAAAAAATATGTAATGAGCATCATTTAAAGAATGAATATAAGTTATCAGCAGTGATTTATGTGTGGATGAAATGAGAGGAGAAGCTGTAGAATAGCAGAGCAAGGAGGCAGAAAATGCAGTGAAGAACAGATGTAGAAAAGATGTTGTTTAGAGAGACACAAGGAGAACGAATGAAATCCTGCAGAGTTAGGTTGTTGCCAGGCTCTATAAACTGTGTAACTCAGAGATGAGCAGACAGGCAAGAACAAATGCCCTCTGTACCCAGCAACAGTGCACTGGGTTTGTCATTGGGAAGCTATTATAGTATGAATCAAGGCTACAGTCAAAAAACAGTGATTTTCAGGGGAAACAGACAAAAAAAAATTAATATGCAAGCGCTAAAGTTTGGTTTTAATCAGGAGAGCAGCTGTTTCCTCTTTGCATGGCTTTAACAAAACTTTAATTGGCTAAACTTCGCCAAAAAAAGTCACAAGGGAACTGTAATACACATGAGCTGAGCTGACTCACACAGTGAGCGATCTGAGGGAACATATCCTATTAAAGACTATACCAAGATTATCTGACTACTAATGAGATTAGAGTTAAAATCAGCAGCTCTGTTTCCAGCTTTAAATTTCTGTTCGTTGTGTGTCTCGGATTAAAAAACTGTAGCTAAAGGTGTAGATAAAGTTAACATGTGGGCTCTGGTTGCGGAGCTGGGTAGGTTCCTGGTTTCCTTGCGCACTAACAAGAGATTGGCACCACACCAATCATCTGGTGGCAATAGCACATCAGGGCGTACTACAGGCAGACATAAAAGGGATGGCAGGAAGAAAACTTGAAAGTAACTGATAAAAATAATTTTTAAAATAAGGTTATATATTTTTTTTAAATTTAAATTTGCTCAGTCTCAGGAGTCCACACACTGAATTTCAGGTAGGCCATTAAAGGCTCTGACAGCATTTTTACTGATGACAAGCGTATGCGTTATTTGATGGTTATTTTATTAAAATAAATAAATAAAGAGGCTAAGTGGCTGGTAATAGAAGCGAGGGATTAGCTGAGTGAACAATTAATCTTTGGCACCACAAATATATGTTTGTTAAACTAATTGCAAATGTCATCAGTGTCACCGACTCACTGTTGGGTTACGCAGCCACCCGTCACTTACCCAGGGTTGCACTGTACACTGCACTGTAGCCGCGACAGCTCCCCTCCCCTCTCGCTAATTGCTGTAATAGATGTAAACAAGCAGGGTGGGAGGTGGAGCAGATGACATCTAGTAAAACTTCTGCAGTCCACCAGTCTACTTTGATGTAGCGAATGAAAGGTTGAATGTAGCGTTTGAGTCCGGCCTGTCATATAGACTATGACAGCCTTAATTAATTTCAAATCAAACTATCAATATATATCACATTTTACAAAAAAATCCCGTTAACTGTTTAGGAATTACAGACATTTTTAAATACAGATCACATTTTTAGAGGTTCAAAAGTAATTGGAGGATTCACAAGCAGTTTCATAGCTTAGTTATTATTATATAACAAATGAAGCAGACATAATATCTGAAGTTGAATTAAAATGTTGAATTTTACGTGTCTCAGCAAGACACACGAGACAACTAAGGCGGATGAAGACAGAATTAATTCCATGGTTAAGAGAAGTAACATCTAACCAAGCTAAGAACACCTTTGAGCAGATAGCTGGTACCTCCATCTGATCCTATCACTAATATCATCCTCTGTCACACCAACCTTCTGCATGTCCTCCTTCACTATATCTGTGAATCTTTTTTGTGGTCTCTGGCAGCTCCACATTCAAAATACTTAGCCTAATGTGCACTCTCTCTCATCTGCACATGTCAAAACCATCTCAGCCTTCCCTCGTTTGAACTTTATCTCCAAACAGCTCAACCTCAGCTGTCCCTCTGATGCACTCATTTCTAATTTCTAAACATACATCAAATCAGGACTCACTACCATCTTGTAAACCTTCCCTTTCAGTCTTGCTGATATTCTTCTGTCACAAATCACCTGACCTACTCCTCCCTGTATGCACTTTCTTCTTCACCCCTCCTGTGCACTGTCCATTACTTTGAATGGTTGACCCCAAGTATTCCAACTCATCTACCTTCACTAACTCTACCAATTTTATGTTTATCTTTCCACCTGTCTCCCTTTCATTCACACACATGTTCTGTTTTGTTTCATTGTTTCATTCTGTTGTTTGCTTCATTCCTCCTCTCTCCAGAGCATACCTCCACCTCTCCAGACTCTGCTTCCTACTCTCCTTACAGATCATAATATCATCTGTGATCATCAGTGTTCACAGAAACTCCTTCCTGAGCTTAGCTGTCAACCTGTCATGACCACAAACAAGTAGGGGCTCTGAGCAGATTTAATCTCACCCCAACTTGAACCCATCTGTCACTCTTACCACACACCTCACCAGTGTCTTGCTGTCCTCATAAATGTCCTGTACCTCCCCTCACATAACTTCTCTGACGGCTCATCAACTTTGTCCATCTATAGTGTGTCCAGCTTCACATACAACTGACTGTAAGCTTTTCCTTTGCCACCTCACTCTTTCTTGAACGCCTACCCTCCCAGTACTCCGGTGTACTATTTTTAATCTCCATGCTATCTCACTTTTCCACCCTCTTCCCTTGATATTCTCACTCTGATAACAAAATTTATATCAATGGACATAAGTGGAGCCTTGCATGGTGGTGGATGCAGAAACTATAACATTGTTATTGGTTTATTAGATGGAGAGACATCTGTATCGGCATCTCATGGTATTAAAAATCATATCCTATGACATACTAATACCCTAGTGTTCTATATACTTTAATGGCAGTAAATTTACTGCTTTAGAATTAATAGCGTAATAGCTCCCCAGCCTATTTAGTGATACTAAATGCTTACATAACCACAGAGAGCCCATTACAAATTATATTCACTCATTACAAATTAAATGTTTGCTTAAGTGTGATAAACGTAATGTGTAAAACTCTTCCTTTGTCCACTAAACTGAACTCTAGAAATACTAGGCTTCAGAAAAATGTGAATATATTAGCTTCTCAAGTCATTTAGACTGACTGATCAACATAACTTCTCAGCATGACACATTTTATTGTCCTAAAACATGTACAGTTTATATCTCATTCAACCTCACAATTTTCATTAACCCTACTGAGTGTCTGGCAGATCATCAGACACTGGCAGCAACATGAAAAAACTTTAATCTCCGATCAAAGAACGATCATATTAGTGTGCAGTAATTGCTCAGAACCAAAGGCTGTTTTGGAAAACTACCAAAAACAACATCTAACAAACTGGTCAAACTGGGCAAGCCTGCTGTGTTATCATATGGCCAACAAAGCCATGGGCGCCACATCTCCACAGTGTGACACAAACAACAGGCCATGAACATCCTGAGAGGTTAATTTCTCCTTTTGCAGAGAGACAGAGGAAAAAAACTCAAAGAAATAAAAGCAAACAAAATGGGAGAGAATGGTAATAAGAGGGAACCGAAATGAAAACCAAGGAAACAATTAATCTAATGACTTTTCACACATGTTCCCTAATTAAGTCAGGTCAATGAAATTATCATTATAGTTCCGTCTCTTCTTGTTCACTAATGTTGCTTATTTCGAACCATAATTGATCCAATCTTTGTCTTAAAAAAACAAGGAAAGAAGAAAACATGGTCTGCATTGCCAAAAAAGATGCAAATTTATATGGATTTCACTTGGAAGGAACTGTGCCAAATATCACTACATTAACAATTAAATGTAATTCTAAAAATCATCTTTGCAATGTTTACATCAAGGTAATTTTAATTTATTTTACAAATACGATACATTCACTATCATTCAATTGTGCAAAGCATTTGTTTTTTACAGGACTTTTAGCAGTAAGTATTTGCATCTAAAACACTCATGAACCCATCTGAGTCAGGGCTGCTATAGCTGATTATGAATGGTTCTTACTGTTTTTGTTTTGTTTTCGGTTTCAAGCCACTTCGCAACCCAGCTCTGTCTCAGTGTAGCAGAAAAAGTAAATTAGCTCTTTATAACTTCAGTCAATTATCCTTCCATGTTTTAACTGACTTGGTCAGTGTCTCATCTGTTGGCACCGTTTCCCTATCTGGTCCTGCTGCAGCCCTCCTCGCCACTGGCTTTCATATGTAAAGGGTGAAGAGGTCCCTGAACAGAGCTGCACCGCCAAATATAAATTACTGCAGATGGGAATGCTCTCTTCCCAATTTCTTGCTTCACTGCCCGTTCAGCTTGTGACTGTTTTCTTTTGGCATTACATGTTATGTTCTGTTTACTCACTTTACTAAACTTTAGAGGGGAACATTCAGTTACTGTTACACTCATGTTCAGTGCAGCATTTTGATCTGCTGCTCCATTGGGGGTCCTGAGACCCTATAACTGCATTTTGATCGAGGTGATATGTCCAAAGTATAATACAAACACCAGTGTAATTTCTCCATTTCACTACTAAGGGTTAAAATATCACTGTATTAAGAAAATTCTTTTAAGTTTACCTGAAATGAAAAGTTCTTTTCAGACAGTTATGAGGAGACAGAAACGGGTTCACGTTATTTATAACCAGCTTTGAGCCGGTTATAAATAACGTGAACCAAATAGAGATTCTGGCTTTAGGTTAGAGGGAGTGTAAAACTGGTTGAGTAACAGTTACCTATAACCAGTTGTGGCAAATGGCTGATCCTCCCTGAGCCTGGTTCTGCTGGAGGTCTCTTTCTCTTAAAATGGCGTTTTTCATTCCCACTGTTGACAAGTGTTTCCTCAGAGAGGGTCGTCTGATTGTTGTTTTTTCTGTATTGTTATAGGAGAGCTTTGAGGCAACTGTTGTTGTGACTTCACGCAACATAAATAAAAGTTTTCAATGTGTTTTTTCAGATGAGAAAACATGTAGACTATGTGACACAAAAATACATTGGAAAAAATTCAACCCACCTCTCTGGGACCTTTAATACAAAAAACATTCATAGCGTGAAGGTAAAATTTCATTAAGCATAAATAAAGTTATTTTACATTAATAAATCAACTGAACCCGTCGAGGTCAGATGGGAACTTTTATCAAATTTAGTTGAGTTTGCATAAATTTCATCAAGAGCCAATTTATAATGATGAATCAGTGTTGAAAGGTTTGGAAATTTAGCTTCAGCCATAGAAGAAAGATGGCATGAAGTTTAAGTGATCTGAGATCTTCCATTATCCTTGGGAAGACATCTAAATTCACAGCAACCACACTCAGTGGGAGAAGTCTTTCAGCTCCCAGAGGATTACACTGCACAAATGTCAGATATAAAAGAATGGGAAAACACACATGAGGCTGCAACACTTGACATTTACTATCGGCTGCGGTTGGTCTGCTGACTACGCTGTTGCTTAAATCATCTGACCTTTAAGAGTCCTGCTTTTTAAAAAGAGGAGCAGCTGTCCTTTTTTCAGAGTTTGTAAAAGCTGTGATCGACAAGTTTGACCCTTTCAACTGTTTGACGACCACAGGTCATCTTGCACAGATGACATGCTTTAAACTTTGTTGCAGACCTACGATTAATTTTCTTCTTAATCCCTAGGAATTCCTCTGCAACGCACTAAATATGCCAAAATAACTAACGAAAGATAGACAGGGCAGGTATTTATGCATACTGTAAATCTACATGCTCTTATCTAAAAATCTGACTTCGCCTACAAGTGCAACTCTCTCAGATACATCAATAATTAAAATCAAGTGCTCTTTTTACTTCTGTAAAGACTTGGTTTGGGAAAGACATCAGCCTCACATGGGGATTGCAGTCTCGTCTGTACAGTCAGTATCACAAACTAAGAGAAGCAAGCAAAAGAAAACTTGAAAAATGAATTTGGACGGCTCTTTACTAGAGTCTACGTTTAAATCTACTTTTGCTTGATCCTGGTCACATGGTCAGGAGAGACAAGTTCACTACTTAAAATGCACATAAATACAAAAAAATACAGGAGACCAAGGCTTCATGCTGGGGTTTCACAATAACATTTTGGGTACAATTTTTTTTCTAACAAAGTAACCCTAATGTGAAAACCTGATGTCAGTAGGTATTACTTATTACTGCTCAACTCCATCGACATTGGACCACTACACTAAAAAGTATGGGCACTGACTTCTTCACAGTCCTTGTATTTTAAACTGGTGTGAAGCAAACTACAAAAAAGATCAGTTTCTGCATCTTGATGACTTATTGGTTATTCATAACAGAGCTGCTTCCTGTCCGACATGAATACAAAACACTTCACCATCACACACACGCACCTTCTCCAGGGCCTGGAGCTGCTGTTTCTGTCTTTCATCCAGTGCTTGGCCCTGGCTCTGAAGGGCCTCCCTCTCTTCCTCCATTCGCACCACCTTGTCCTTCAGCCGATTCCGCTCGTTGTCCAAGTCTCTGATGGCTGCTTCCTGGGTCATCTGGGTGGCCTGCAGACTGCTTATCTGACCTATGGCAGAGCAGAGGCGAGAAGAATACAGATATTCAACTGATGCAATCAGCATGTTGCTGGTTCTTATTGATGCTGCCAACACAGCTACAACGAGGGGCTGTCAAAAAGTTTCAGTTTTGTGATTGTGCCATAGTTGATCCTGACTCATAGGAAGAAGGTCTACAACTCCCTGGGGCCTTTCTATGTGGAGCTAGCATTCTTTTGCTTTGTCATGTCTTTGTTGTCTTTGTCGTCTTTGTCTCTGGGTACTTCAGAGCTATACAGTTCTTCACTGAAAACCTGCTTGAGATTGCTTTGATCTCTAGGGGCTTGCTACATTCTCCAGTAGTTAGCAATGAAAATGTTGACATGCCCACAAATACTTTTAAAACTATTCCCAGAGCAGTAGTGAAACTGTTAAAGTACAATGCAAAACAGGAAGTAAAAGTTGTGTTTTTTCACGTGTTAGTTGCAGCAATAATTCTGTTTCTAGAAAGCTTCACACAAGTTCTAAGTTCTAGTTTCACTATTTACTCTCCAAGTTCTAGTAAATAACAACTCTCTGAAGATAAGTTTCCATCTTCCCTGTGAACTACAGGTGATCGTGTCAAACTGCTTGCCATTAAATCAATCACAAGAAATTTTTGTTGCAGCCATTTTTGTGACCGATTTCACTTGACAGCAGCCAAGTTTGGAAATAAACATTTTTGTTACCCAACTGGTGGTAGCCAGTTAGTAACTGATTGGTCTTTGTGATTGTGAGAGGCCTTAAATGCTGATTCTAAATTAGCTGTAAGTATGAGTGAGAGTCTGAAAGGTTATTTTTGTCACTATGCTAGCCCTGCAATGGATTAGAGACCCCGTCTCTCCCCCGTGACAGCTGGAACAGGCTTGAGCCCCACTTTGGCCCTTAACTCGATAAGCTGTTAGGAAAATGTATGGATGAATGGACACCCAATGTGGCAAGAAAGGGTCCTTATCAAGCATCTGTATGTGAGCTGGGAGTGAAAATGTGCTGGACATTTCTGGACATACAAACCATAAAACTTAAACTCAAGACTACACATTTAGTAATTGTTGAAGGATGGTAAGTTGAAATTTACCACTCTTACACTTTTTTTTTTTACCTCTATAACTTAAAAACACAAAAGGCACTTTAAAAGGCAAAAAGGACTCATGGTCATTTCTTTGCAAACAACCTTGAGAGGTCCTCTGATCTGTAGTGTGGTAAATGAGACTCCCATGGCTGCATTTACCAGCTGGATCTTATTTGTCTCTAACATGCAAGCAGCTCCAGTGGAAAGTGATAAAACGCTCTCATTGGATACAACGAACTCATTGGAGCTAATGGGCCGAGAATGACTCCGCACCAAAGTGGCTGCGATTGCTCACACGTTTCAGACAGTAATGTTTATGCAATGTTGTTAACCAAAGTAGTGATGGAAATACATCATAAGATATTAGACCAGATTCTAACATACACCTATTTAGCCATTTACATGTGCACATAAACACAGACAAACTGGGCACTGTCGTCAGCAAGGCTTCTTCTAGCAGCCTCTGAGGGACCGGGAACACCATTAGCCCCGATATACAGTACAGCAACATGCTATTAAAGTGTAACAGGCAACGATGTGTCAGACAAGATGAGGGGAGCTGTTAGTCGATATGTTTGACGTGTTTGCACGGAAAGCATAGAGTGCATCTTGAGTCTAGTGCGGATGCAAGAATTCACAGGTCTCATGAAAAGAGAAAGGGAAGAGATTGTGGGTCTTACTGGCTTTGAGAAGTATTTCAGTTGCCTGCTGCTGAACTCGGTCTCTGGCTGCCTCTAGTTCACATTCAGCCTCCTTCTGACGGATTTCCACAATCTCCGAGTTCTGGGTCACCTCGTCCAGCTGCTTGGTTAAGTCCTAGAGGAGAGTCAAATCCACAAAAGAAAGCTCTGTTAGAGTAGGTTAAGAAGAACAACAACCAACCTCTAACATCTTTACAGAAGGAAATAATTAAATTATAATTTACCCCCAGTTTAAATGACACTGATGAAAAGACTGATGGTCTGTGCTGTCATACAACTCTTTTCGGTTTACTTTCCCTACTGTCAGACATTGCAGACGGGTGTTTTCAAACATCATTAAAGATCAGCTGATAAATGCAGCTTTGATATATATATAGTTCTAAGCCTAAATATAGTATCTAAATGAGTTTGAATATTAAACCTAAATAACTAGCAGACCAGAGACTTCAAATGGCATGACACATCTGACTTTTACTCAGTAAAACCGCAGTTCCTCTAATGGCCACTTGAGACCAGCTTCCAGGTCAATCCCCATAAACTCATATGTTAAAACTTCCCATTAAAAACAGCATGTTTACAGCCTTGCACACAAACAGTTTTGCCCTCTACAGATACTTTCCACCTTTAAAACAACTATACAGAGGGGAAATATTTTTATCCAACTCATTCATGTGGATAGTGGCCCCTCTGACAAGTTTTCAGACAGTTGGAGCTGTATTTGTGATATTGGTGCATTTTGTAGAATTTTTAATTGAACTAGCTCACAAATAATATAGCCTGTGGTAAGCTACAGCCCACCCAAGATGCTTATGGTTCAGTTTTGATGACTGAAATTCTAGTATTTTGATTAATGATAATGTTGAGGTTTTAATATTTAGAATCTCAAATGAATGTCAACACCACGGGTATGACGATGTTTTACAAATGAAGTCGGAATTATTAGGCCCTGTATTATTATTTTTTGTTTTAAACAGAGCAAAGAATTCTTAACACAGGTTTTTTAAACATTCTATTTTTATTTTGGACACTTAAAATATGTTACTTGGCACACAGAAACAATATTATACCACATAAACCAAAAACTACCAGGGTTAAGACTGCTACTAGTCAATTTTATATCCTTTTTGCTAGATAACGGCCTGCAGCCGTTTATTGTAGTTTTCGGCACGTCTTAAACATGCCTTGATGGTCTGCGATGGTCTTCTGGCATGCGCCTTGGTCTTTGGTTCACCTCACAGATTTCCAGTTGGATTCAAGTCGGGGGGGTTTTGTTCACTTTGGTCGTCTAAAGGTAGTTCTTCTCCAGGGGCGATGTGTGTATTGATTACGTTGGAAGACAAAGCGATGACCCAGACCCAGTTTTGCTGCCAATTCTTTGAGGTTTTCTTTAGGATCTTCGCATATCTTTTTTTTTTATGATTATCCTTCAACCTTGGTGGGATTCCCAGATTCAGATGCACTGCAGCTTCCCTACAGCATAAAACTCCCACCATGTTTCAATGGGCGCACAGTTTTTTAGGGTTGTACTTCAAAAAAAAAAAGAAGAAAGATTGCTTGCTTCAAACGTACGCAGTGTCTCTGTGGCAAAAAACTAGTTACATCTCATCTGACGTGTATGTCCAGTATGCATCATCTTTGTTCACGTTTCCGTAGCATATTTCAGTCTGTCTGGAAAGTGTCTCTTCTTCTTGGGCTCTTTTTTTCTTGGTCTGTAACCTCACAGTCCATTTCTGTCTAAGGTTCTCATGATTGTGAGATCAAAAGTCCTGACTTGGCTAATTGTTCATTACTGTTTTCAGCATTTGTTCTGGGGTCTTTAGACACTTTTCTCAATAGTTTTCTTTTCTATCTCTGCCGGGCTTATTCTGCACAGTGTAGCTCTCTTTAATTTTTTTGATGAAACTTCTCATTCCAGTTCTTGACATTTGGAAACTCTGTGATAAGGTTTTTAATTCATCTCCTGCTTTGTAAGCATCAACAATTCTTTTTCTGTTGTCTAAGCTGATTTCTTTTGTTTTTGGCATGATGCTTTCTCAAGTGGCAGCTCAAACTCCTGCTGAAGTTTTGTACTGTGTGTAAACTGGAAGACGATGCTCAGTTTTAACTTGATTTTACAAGCTTTGAGCATTACAAAGTTAAAGCACATCACTGCACAGCAGTGGCTTGTGCGTTTGCTCAATAGAAGTTCAGGTTATCGGGGGTTATGTTAAAAATATGTTGCTCTGTTTCATTGTGGAGCAATTATTTTATCCTCACCTTTATATACAGTCAGTCAATCATGTGTGGTCACAAGTTCACCAACAAAACTTTAATATTGATTAAAAAAAAGTCTGTGTTGTGCTCAAATATTTTGCACGTTTTTTTTTAGAAAAGGGAAGAAAAAGGAATAAAGAGAAACTAAGAGTTTACAAAATAGTTTATAGAGCTGGAGGAGTTCTTGGCCTCTGGACAGGTCAGGTTAATGACTAAAACATTGTTTTACAAAATTATCGTACTATCTATAAATTATTTTTGTGGTGATAAAAAATAATTTATAGATAATGTCTTTGTTATTTACAAGTTAAAAGATCACTCATTACAAAGACTGCCACAAGCCTCGCTAGCTAGTATAAATAGAAGAAGATGGGTTTTTTTCACTCTCACTAACTTTTTTGAATGATAGGATTGTTAGCCCAAGTCCAAACTTCAACATTCAAGACCTAAATATCTGGGCACATGCCCTTTAATGTCAGTCATTAACTAAATGGAATGAAACCTGAGTAAATGTAAATCCACCTATTCTATATTTGATGAGCTGTTAAGGGTGTGTTCAGTACTATTATGAGGTAAGGTATGCTACTGAAGACAGACCTTTAAAATTACATGTTGCTTGGTCATTGCAAAAAGGTAAGTGTAGCAGATTCATATTTAAAGTAATGTAGAGGCTTTAAGAGGCACATCCGTATAGAAAAGTGAACTTCACCTTATGTTGTAATGCAATGCCAGGATGAAGTTGGCAGCCAGTAGTTGCAGCCAGTTTATCACACTTACAGAAAGAACCGTATTGGCAGAATATTAATACTGAAGATTGAGAGTGTAAATGCTGACTGGTGCTCAATTAATAGGAACTAGACTTCAGGGAGTGATTTGACGTGAGCACACACACACACACACAC